AGCTAAACAAGTATGTTGATTTTTTTAGGGGGTTGACTTAGTGATGTTAACAAAAAGAAAATCAGTGCTGTTAGGCAGAGTTTGGTGAAACCTTTTGCCCAATTTCAGAACAGAAGAATCCAAACAATGAAGTTCAACTTAATCATTTGTTTTGTTCCCTAGCAGTTCTGGAGATGGAGCTCATGACCTGGAGCACATTAAATAAGGCTCTACTACCAAGCCACACCCTCAGATCTCTGTTCACTCCCTTAATACAAAGCTATAGACAGTGGCCCTAACCTCTGGGATAGTGACCCCTTTGCGGAGTCCACTGACTGTTTCACAGGGGTCACCTAAGACCACCAGAAAACAGATACTTACATTCACAATTCATAAAGTAGCAAAATTAGATTTATGAAGGGGCAATAAAAATAATTTTGTGGTTGGGGTCACCACAACATGAGGAACTGGATTAAAGGGTCTCAGCGTTAGGAAGGTTGAGAAACACTGCTATAGATTGTCAATTAGAACCATATTTTATGTTTTAACTTTATCTTTGCTGTTAGACAAGTTACAGTTTATTTCTAAAAAGACTCTAGAACAAGTCAGAAAATCAGACCAAAAAAAAAAAAAAAAAACTATTATTTGTTAAACTGGCTGAGAAAAAAAAAACAGTTTTAAATCAGAACATCTAACTAATGAATACTCGAAACTTTTGCAGCTCTTAAAAGCCTGGGTCCTAAATTAATAGGGCAAGAGATTAATAGGGCAATAACAACAATATACTTAAATAACATCTTTGGGAATACACTCTTTAGGAAACTCTTTCTCAGTTACCCCTCTTAACTGGGATTGCCAAGAAATGTGATATCATGTGTACAACCAAATCAGAACATGCAAAAATCAAAATTCAAGGACGACAAAAAAAGGAAAGACAGCGACTCAAGACTGGGCCTTAGGGAGTAGTGTGGCCAGAACCCAAAGCCCTTTCCGCTTCCTGTTCTTAAATCTTCAAAGTACAGACACATCCATTTATGATTTTTTTCGTTGTTTTGTTTTTATTTTTGAGACAGAATTTCTCTGTGTAGCCTTGGCTGTCCTGGAACTCACTCTGTAGACCAGCTGGCCTCAAATTCACAGAGATCTCCCTGTCTCAGCCTCCTGAGTACTAGGATTAAAGGTGTGTGCCAACTACTACCTGGCAATTTATGAATATCATTTTTATCACTTCCTGTCTACTGTGTACACAGGGCTGCTTACATTTCCAACTTTCCCCATCATTCCCAATTTTCTATACACAATACATTTGAAGCACTAAAGACAATTTCTGAAATCCCAGAGTTGTACTGTGGGTTTTGATACCTATAAAGTTATAGATCAGTTTTTTGTTTATTTGGTTTGATTTGATTTGGTTTTTGCTTTCCGAAGACAGGGTTTTTCTGTATGTAGTCCTGGCTGTCTTGGAACTCGCTCTGTAGACCAGAATGGTCTCAAATAGACAGAGATCTGCCTGCCTCTGCCTCCCTAGTGCTGATACTAAAGGCGTGCACCACCACTGCCCAGCATAGATCAGTTTTTTAAAAAGCATATGTATGTGTGTGTTACATGTGTGTGGATATATATATATATGCATACATCATATACCCTCTGGAGACACTGTTTGTTCTGAGACATCTTTAGACACCACTTCATTAAAGTTGAGTTCGCCACTGCCGCAGCTTCTGAACTCATTATCATTTCTCTCCCTAAGTCTTCAGAAAACAGGCTGAGAATTTAAAAGCCTTTCCACACACTTCCTCTCACGAGTGAGAATTCCCTGTGTCTTACACAGTAATGAATTTAAACAAGGATGTTTGCCAGAGAGTTCCCAAAATGACAGAATGCTCCCCATACCTCCCCATCTGTAACGGCACTGGGAAAACTCACTCACCTTCGGCGTGTCAATAATTGATGGTCTAGGGATGGATGTCTGGAAAGTAACTGCCTCACGGTCTGGTTCATCACTGAGGCACCGGGGCACATTCTCAAGGGTCTCTGCGGGCTGGACAACGTTGTGTTTGCTGTTGTTGCCATTGGCACCACCATTTCGTTCTGAGTGCATATCAGAATCTCGCCTTTTCTCCGGAGTGCTTTCTTCTTCTACCTTGGGGTGACTTGGATGCTTGCCTGCTTTGGCCATGGGCTGGACATTGATGGTGGAGTGAGTATCAGCTGAGCTGGACTGATCAAAGGCAGCATTCTCCCTGGTGTTACCAAAACAAGCCAGCAGAGCCGAGCATGGAAAGGGGTGCATCCTTCCAGGTGAGAACGTCAGGCTTTTGGTGAGCCTCGCTTTCCACACCGACATGACCTGTAGCAATACATGGCAGAGTTCAAAGGAGAAAAGGAAGTCTTCTTCCGGGTTGCCTTCGAGTCACCATTTCCGTGCCTGAAGAGGAGATGGCCGGCCCATCCTCACCAAGATGGTCTCTCTATGTATCCCTGCAAGGAAGCATTCATCCTGGGGGATTTCACGCTCTTCCTTTCCTGCTGTCAGTAGCTAAAGAAGCCTCTGTGAGGCAGGCAGTTGGCTCGGGTTACAGTCCCCGGCAGGGCAGACGCTCCAGGGTAAGGTAGTGCCAAGGCAATAGACAGCTGCTTCGGGTTACCTGGGAGGCATAAAGATAATGTAGCCTATTAGCATCCACCATAAGAGTGTCAGCCGTGTATCAATAACATCATAACAGCCGCAAAACCTTCTACAGTTTCTGCCTTCAAATATTTATTCACCCAAACAAAACAGAAACCACCCAGTTGTCTATGGCAAATGAAGACCCCCGTGAGAGGCCACAACCCTGGCACCTGCTTCATTATTAAAATAGAAGGTGCATTGGATCGTTCATCCAGAGAGATCCATGTTTGTACCTAATGTCATGAAGACTTTTCTGGATCTTTCCTGAATCTTCCCCCTGATAACAGCGTCCTGGCTTCAGAGTCCATTCTGGATCTGGTAACTATCAGTGCTCATGAATCTGTTTTCTGAGCATCTGGTTCCTGGTTGTTTTTTAAACAATATAAAAAAAGACCAGGCTAAGAATTAGAATTATGTAGTATGCCACACTTCTGAAGGCACTGTGCATGTTTTGAGTGACAGTCAATTGGGTATATGTGTTGCCTAATTTAAAAAGTAAATAAATTTCAGTTCATGTAGACCCTTCCACTTTCCAAACCATTAAATGTTAGTGGAGCTGAGTCTGATGGCACATACCTCTAACCCCAGCAGACAAAGGCAGGAGGATTACCCCAAGTTCAAGGTCAAACTGCACAACACAGCAAGTCTTAGGCCAACTGGGGACACACAATGAGAGCCTATCTCAAAAATAAATAGATGGTAATAATAATAGTCAATTCTAACCACATTGTAAGACAATTCAAAAACCAGGATTTTCCCCTCACCGAACACCTGCTAGGGATGTCCTAGAAAAGTAGTACCGTCATGATTTTGCCATGAAGAGTGACTTTCAGATCAAGGTTTCGGGACATATTACCTACTCTAATTTATTTGTTTGCTCTTTTTTTTTAATGTCCAGCTATATTCCTCATCTGAGACAGGAAGTCATTACATTAATAATAATAACAATGCCCAATTTACAGACTCAGCAGCTAGGTCTTTGAAACTTCAACTGAAAACAGGAAAATCATGCCACCAGGAAGGTCAGGATAAAAGCTCAAAGTACCTACTGGACACAGCATCAAATACAGACTTTATTTTGGTGTCTAACAAAAGTTTGAATACAGCAGTGGTGCACACCTTTAATCCCAGTACTCAGGAGGCAGAGGCAGGTAAATTTCTGAGTTCAAGGCCAGCCTGGTTTACAGGGCTACACAGAGAACCCCTATCTTGAAAAGACCCCCCACCCCAAAAAATTGAAATGGAACATTGTTGCATTAGGAGCGGCGAGGCTGCGTCCCCGGCACCCAGCCGCCCACATGGCTAGCTTATGTCCCGAAATAATTACACGGAAACTGTATTTTTTTAAACACTGCCTGGCCCGGCTAGTTCCAGCCTCTTATTGGCTAGCTCTTACATATTGTTCTAACCCATTTCTAATATTCTGTGTAGCCCACGAGGTGGCTTACCAGGGAGGATCTTAACCTGCGTCTGTCTGGAGTGGGAGAATCATGGCGACTCCTTGACTAAGCTTCTTTCTCCCAGCATTCTCTTCTGTTTACTCCACCCACCTAAGGGTTGGCCTATCAAGGGGCCTAGGCAGTTTCTTTATTAATAAGAAATCACTCCCATATCATTTCCCCTTTTTCTGTTTAAACAAAAAAGAAAGGCTTTAACTTTAACATAGCAAAATTACATATAACAAAACAGTTATCAAGTAAGAATCACAGTTACAATATATATATATATATACTATCTTTTATCATAACTAAGGAAAACTATAATTATCTATTCATTCTTCAACTCTATCAAAGACTCCAGAAGGATATAATACTACCTAAGTAAACAAGAAATAAGAAAACTCTAGAAATGACAGAGACATCTCGCTGCCTGGACAGTCACCCAAAGTTCCTCTGTACTGTTGGGGCATCCATCTTCGGCCTACAGGCCCATAATATCCATCAGACATTTCCAAGAAGCAGGAAATTCCAAAGAGAGTTCAGTCATTTTCTGCTGTGTCCTGCAGAATGTCTCGCAGACTCTTTCATGAATCAGGAACCCTGAAAGACCACCTTTAGGCAAGTTCAGCAGTCCTCTCTCTGCGGGTTCTCTGTGTCCAGTTTATGCAACAGTCCAGGCAAGAACAGTTTCTTGCCCAAATGGCTATCAAATTCCATAAGGATCCTCTTCGATGCCCATCTTCCTCTTGAAGTAGCTGGTGCTGCCAGGAGCAGACGTGTCTCCTTGTCATGAAAAGTCCTAAGTTATTAAAATATTTTAAATGCCATATTCTGCAGTCTTTGAAAAATATGAAGAATGCCTATCTAACTGAAGTATATTTCTATATATCTAGAAAATCTAGCTTTTTCCAGCCTCCGTCCCGGACCCTGCAGCCACCGCGATGTTGATGCCCAAGAAGAACCGGATTGCCATCTATGAGCTCCTTTTTAAGGAAGGGGTGATGGTTGCCAAGAAGGATGTCCATATGCCCAAACACCCCGAGCTGGCAGACAAGAACGTGCCCAACCTTCATGTCATGAAGGCCATGCAGTCTCTGAAGTCTCGAGGCTATGTGAAGGAGCAGTTTTCCTGGAGACACTTCTATTGGTACCTTACGAATGAGGGCATCCAGTATCTCCGCGATTATCTCCACCTACCTCCGGAGATCGTGCCTGCCACCCTGCGCTGCAGCCGTCCCGAAACTGGCAGGCCTCGGCCCAAAGGGCCAGAGGGTGAGCGCCCCGCAAGATTCACAAGAGGGGAGGCGGACAGAGACACCTACCGAGGCCGGGGCTGGCTCAGCCACCGAGTTCCAGTTTAGAGGAGGCTTTGGTCGTGGACGTGGTCAGCCACCACAGTGAGCTTGAAGACTGTTGTTTGGAATAAACGTTAAAGAAAAATAAAAAAAAAAAAAAAGAAAATCTAACTAACTTGACTACAAGCTTGACTATTATCCATTAACCTATATTTCCTAATTATACAGTACATTTTTAAATGAACTACACAATCACAATACCTTAATCAAGATCAGAAATACATATACACATAACAAAATTGACCGTAAAATCCATACCAATGCAAATTATTCATATCTATATCAGAACATGGAAAGATATCATTTGGTTAAAGGTCATCACAGGACAAGCCCTGTATCAGACTTACCAGGGTCAAAAGGTCATTCTCCTTTTAAAATAGAAGTACACAATCTAACCCTTCCTCCCAGGAGGGGGCAGGAAGTTCATGCTCTCAGCAGGCCCCCTCATTTCTGAGGGCATGGGAACGGTTTCATCTCTTACCCATCTCTCTGTTATAGTAGGTTTAGGCACGATCATTACATACTCCCTTCAAAAGTCCTTACAGGTAAGGGTGGCTATGGTGCTTAACAAGGCTTTTTGGATGCTTGGAAACAGCAGGAAGAAATGAGAGGCAGTTCTTAAATGTAGCTTTATTCATCTGCTCATTCACGTACAAGCAGAAACATTGTCTAAAGTAGCAGATTCGGGGCTAACAATGCTATTTTCTCTCTTTCATTCTGGGAAAGGGTCTTTCAGGTATGCCAGTCTGATATCAAACTCCTGATCGTTCTGCTGCCACCTCCAGAATGCTGAGTGTCTGATCAGCAGCGTATCCAAATAAACCAGCATCCCAGTTCTTGGCCCATGCAACATATGAACATTTCTCTAGGGTAGCTGCCAGGTCTGAACTAGAACAGATAACGGATATTGAGGAATCTCAGCAAATTGGTTCATTTAATCCTTACAACCCTAGCAGAAAGATGATATTATTCCCATCTTACCCATTAGCAAAACAAGAAATAGAAATTTAAGTAACTAGCCCAAGACCACCAAACTGATAAGGAAGAAAGCCAAATCATTAACCCAGGGAGCCTACTGCCAGAGTTCACACTTCTAACCAGTGTGCAATGCTACCTACAGAAACACACACACACACACGTCAAAGGGGCACTTTCTGATGCTCTTCAACCTACCTCTAAGACTTTATTTCACAGATATCTGTGTGCAAAGGGAAGTGCTGCTAACAGTTTAAAAATCATAGAATCCATTAATCAGCAGAAGACAAGTTAATATATAAGAAGACATCTGTACAAAAAAAAAAATCACACAGTCACCAAAAAGGAGGCTGGAGAAATTTCAAGTATAATGTAGTGCGCTAATTGTGTATACACAAACTCTGCATGAAATCAGTACAACAACGGTAATGGAATTCTCTCACAGGCTTCAATGTGCAACACTAAAAAGCATGAGAAGATGATCATTAATACCAGAAAGCTCAACACTTCCCACAAAACAAAACCATACGTAACATTACTAATGAATGAAAAAGAAGCCTTTCAGGACCCCTTGGGAGCTCTTGTACCTAAGTAGCAGAACTTAGGAGCAGGGCTAAGAAAAGACTTACGGAAGTTCTGGTATGAAAGTCAAAAGTTGCCTAGATTAGTCTACCTAAAGACAACATACACCTCCAGTTGTAATGAATAAATAAACTGGATTTTACTGGCTTAAACCAGTACATTTAAAATCTCAGGTTTAAATTTTTAAGGGTGGAATAGCTGCTCGCATCTTGCCTCGAGGGGAGAGCTCACCCAGCTGGGGTAACACAGAGCAGAACTTAAGAGCTATAGAGAAGGGCCCTGACACTTCCGGATCAAGCATTGCCTGCAACTGCATCCACAGTTGCCCTTCCCTATTTTCCAGGAAAGCAAGCCCTTTTCCTCTACTTCTCCATGAGCTTACAGGAGCGGTTTTTGAGACTTCTTACTAAGAGTCCTAATCAACCCAAGCCCACTAAAACACTTACTAGGGATGGCCACAGCAACCTAAGATGAGGGACGTCACTCCACGCCGTCATCAGAATGTCTTAAAATTAATCATATTCTATAGAGCACTGAGAATTGGAGCACCTAACATTCGACTCATTCCTGCAAACAACTTACTGAGAATCCGCGATAGGTCAAGCAGGCTCCCGCAATGCCTCAGCCAGTGGCGCAAGGGAAACCCCCGGTGAATTCCGGAAGTGAAAGCTGGCTGGCTTCACATCCGGCACACCTAGGCTCACTCTCTCCTTGGGTACCCTGCTAATCAATGTCTAGCCACAACGGCCTTTGGCTGCACTACCCTATACTTCATGAGCCCTGCCCAAATACTTGTGTAACTCTTCCTTCTCCTCCACACTTCAGCTGATGGTGAATAATCTATGGTGTTTGAGCAGACATCATTGACTAGAAAGGGGAATGGTGCTTCCTCCTCTTCCCTGCCTACTTCCTGTGCCATCCACAAGAAGAACTGACCATCTGCCTTCTCGGGCCCGTTTGGACTCCTGGTCATGGAGAGCCCAGAGACGAGACTCTTACTCTCCCTCTTTCCCATTTCTTGTTATTTCCTGCTCCAGGGTGAAGAATGCAGGGATAGCCTCTGCCGTAACGAGGACTCCTCTTCACCATAGGTCTTAGACCTCGTTCCATAAGACAACATGCACAGTTGTATTTTGGAGCCCAACATAGGCCACTGAGAGTGGCAGGATAGCCCATTTCCTTCTAAATGTGGAAGTAAGATCACCCAGGACAGGAGCATGGCCTCAAGGAACTGGGGACTCAAGAACCAGAATCACAAACATAAGTAAAGCTGTGTCACTGTTTGATTTTATATCTCCTCTCTTTTTCTTGTATATGATTATAAATCAAAGGGAATTAAAAATGGGATTATATTTTTTATTAAAAATGATTTCACAATAATGTCTCAAACATTTGTGAGAAGATTTGAGAACATTTTCATTTGTTTTAAAATTGGATTTAAGGAGCTCACATTTTTTTTTCTCAAATAAAACAGCTCTGCCTTTACATGCTAAAATTCTCTTTTCCAGGGCTTAATCCATAAAGCCTTGCAAACATAAGGATTTGAGTTTGGATTCCCAGGACCCACGTAAAAGGCTGGAGACAGTGGAATAGCCTATAATCCCAGAGCACAGGCAGGCAGAGCCAGAAGGTTCCCTGGGGCTTACTGGACATCCAATCCAGTTAGTGAACAAGCTCCAAGCAGTGAGAAACTGTATCAAAAAAATAAGGTAGAGGGCTGGAGAGATGGCTCAGTGGTTAAGAGCATTGGTTGCTCTTCCAAAGGTCCTAAGTTCAATTCCCAGCAACCACATGGTGGCTCACAACCATCTGTAATAAGGTCTAGTGCCCTCTTCTGGCCTTCAGGCACACACATATTCCAAAATCACTCCAGAGGAGTCTGGGGAAATGCCTGCCTGTGCACCCCAGAAAATAAAATGGACTGGGACATATAACATTGACTATACCATAAGAAACAAAGTGAGTTTGCTAAAAATTGTAAAACTTTTAGTGCTGGGTCCTTAAGAACCAAATTTAATATATGTTGTTGCCCAGAACTAAGGAAGGGATGTAGAAGACTCAAGAAGTTTACAGAAAGGCACAAGGAAATTTTAGGACTGATGCAAATGCTATATATTCATTTGCAAAAAAAAACATAGAAATACATATATTTAAATAAATATATGTTACGTTTCATGTATATAAGTTCTACTTTCATAAACCTGACTTAAAATAAAAAAAGATGTTCATAGCTCTTGGAGTCTCTAACAAAGCCAGAAAATCAGATTTCCAGATTGTGCTGTTAGAAATAACTTTAGAATGTCATCAGCTCACCATGGAGACTCTACCATTGCCATCCTGAGGAACAAGCCATTATCTCACAGCATTAACAAGCATCCAGCCTCTCCTGACCACAGCTTCCCATGGCCCATTATCGCCATAGTTCTGTATGCTGTTTATTTTTAGTGCATATGTATGTGCATTTTTTATATGTGTGGGTACATACATGGGATGGGGGGTGAGCATGCATTTGTCCACAGCATGCATGTAGTGTTCCAAATCCTCCTTAATTTCTCTACCTTCTTCATTGAGGCAGGCTCTCTCAGTCAAACCCAGAGTTCTTCCTTGTCCCTCATCCTGTTTGCTCTTGGTTTCATCAATCTTTTTTTCCAGTTTATTACTCTAGTCAAATCACTCACTTATGATTATATTCATCTTTTTTATCATTTTTCTTTAGTTAATTGAGTCTGATTTTTGTTTCTTTGATATAAAAGATTTACAATTTGAGAACTTTTGAAAATAAATGAATGCGTTCTGCATTATAAGATGCCATGAACCTATGGGTCAAGAGGTGTAAGGTTGTGGCTTAAAAGTAATATCTTTGGCACCCCCCCAAAAAAAATTGATGGACAGTCATTGCAAATGCCTTCAATCCCAACACTCAAGAGGCAGAGACAGGAAGATCTCTGTGAGTTCAAGGCCAGGTCTACAGAGCGAGTTTCAGGACAGACAGAGCTGTTACTAAAGAAACCCTGCCTTGAAAAACCAAACAAACAAACAAACAATCAAACAAATAAGTATCTCAATAGCTTAAATGGTCCTCCCCAAAGATGTCCTTGCTCTAATACTACAATCTATGAATGCTTTATATACACGACAAAAAGCTCTCATAGACATTATCAAGAATCTTAAAGGGGAGGGGTCATCCTAGAGGAAACCATCAGCATCCTTTCTCAGGGGAAGCAAGCAAGAAAAAGCAAGCACAGGAACGTTGCTGGCAATGGGAAGGTTGAGCAGGACTGCAGCAAGCTGGGGAGATTCACAACCTCTTGCCAGTGAAGAAGACAATCCTCCCCTCAAGCTCCCAAAAGGAACAAAGTCAAAATCAAGAGCTTGGCTCCAGGGGCTGGGAAGATGACTCAGCAGTTAAGAGATTTGTTACTCTTGTAGAGGACTTGGGTTCAGTACCCAGCATCTACATGGCA